TTGGCAGATAGGGTTAAGGAGAGTCCAAAGACACCCGACAAATATATTTAAGGACAAAACAGTAACTAAGGGGAGAATAAGGGCCCTTAAAGATCAATGTGGTCATCTATGTGTGGAACACAGGAGATTGGCGAAACACTAAATGAATATTTCATGTCTGTATTTACTATGGAGAAGGGCATGGAAGCTAGAGCACTTAAGGAAATAAGTAGTGATATCTTAAAGTGTCCATATAATAGAAGACGAGGTGCTGGATGTCTTAAAATTGGTGTAGTGGACAAGGAAGAAGGTGATTTCAGAGTAAAATAGGACTTTGATCAGATGGGTCAGTGGGCTGAATAGTGGCAGATGGAGTTTAATTTGGATAAAGCTGAGGTGCTACATTTTTTGGTAATACAAACCCGGGCATGATTTACACAGTTAATGGGAGGGCCCTGCGGAGTTTTGTTGAACAACGAAAACTAGGGGTGTAGATGCGCAATTCCTTGAAAGTGGAGTTGTAGCTGGTGAAGAAGGCCTTTGGCACACTTGTCCTCATTGGTCAGTGCATTGAATATAGGAGTTGGGAGGTCATGTAGCAGTTGTACAGGACATTGGTGAGGCTGCTTTTACAATACCATATTCAGTTCTGGTCTCCCCGCTATACGAAAGATGGTGTTTAAACCTGAAAGTGTTCAGAAAAGATTTACAAAAATGTTGCCAGGGTTGGAGGATTTGAGCGATAGGGAGACGCTGTACAGCTGGGGCTTTTATCCCTGGAGCATCGGAGGCTGAGGGGTGACTTTTTATAGAGGTTTATGGATAGGGTGAATAACTAAGGTCTCCTCCCTAGGATAGGGGAGGCCAAAATGACAGGGCACAAAGATTTAAAAGGGAACTCAGGGGTAACTTATTCATGCAAAGGGTGGTGTGTGTCTGGCGGGTACAATTACAAAATATAAAAGGCATCTGGATGGGTGATCAAATGCTGGCGAATAGGACTAGATCAGTTTAGGATATTTGGTCGGCACAGACAAGTTAGACAAAAGGATCTGTTTCCATGCTGTATAACTCTGACTCTAAATTGAGCTGTTGTATGTTTGAATATTCGTTGAAAGTGCTGATTGCCTGGGACTTGTGTGGCATGATTGCCTGCCATTTATCAGATCAGACCAGACCAGACCTGAACAATGTTTAGTCTGTGGGCACAGACTTGTTCAGGGTTCAGACTATACGGCAGTGGGCAAACCCACTCTCCGAAGTCCCCAAGCACTCAAGGAAAATTAAATCAAGTGGGCAACTAATGTGAGAAGAGTCACCCTGTATGTATAAGTGACTGAATCTACGAGGAGCTACTTGTCCAATCGTAAAATACTTCTGTCACACTAGCTGCTAAGCAGCTATGGTCATTGCATCTCATTAGTGTGATGCAATCAGCAGCTAGCGTGTGAGAGAAATCTTATGATTGGCTGAGCAAAAAACACCACTGATCCAAATTATCCAGTTGCAGTGGCTAAGGTTTGGAGACAAATGCATGGTTGAATTTTTGGGCCTCACCAGTTTAGGTGCCCTTCGTAATAAGTTGATGTGATCTACCAAGTTATAGATTACTTTGAGGGTGAGAGCAGCTCTCCAATCACACATCTAATCGTGGCGCTTCCACCACAATGTATACCATCTAAACATCAAAAAACATTTTTCATTTTGCCCAATCCCCATTTCTTCTAGCCACTTTCATATCATACACATATATTAAAGAACATTGGTCCTCCCTCGCATTCAAGTTTCTGGATGGGGAGCTTTTCTTTTTTTTTGCAAAAAGTAATAAACTCTCCAGGTAATTGTGAACACCTATCTGTAGGAGCACTGTCTCGGTAAGTTGAAGTTCTTTTGATGCCCCTGACTGATTTCTGTTCTGAGGAAGGGTCACTGGACCTGAAATGCAACACTTTGATTTCTTTCCACAGATGCTGCCAGACCTGCTGAGCTTTTCCAGCAATTTCTGTTTTTGTTTCTGATTTACAGTATCCACAGTTCTTTTCAGGTTTTTATTCAATACATTTTAAAGGTCTTGTCATTTCCTGTTTTATCATAAAGTCTGACAACCGTGGGCTGATTCCCTCCAGTCAATACTCAGGCAGAGATTGAAAATAAAATTGATCTGTGATTTTATGTGGGTTTGTGCAGTTGCAGATGGGTTTTTATTTCATTTTAGACAGCAAGCATAGGAGATTCATTTGGAATAAATTAACAAAAGCATCTTAGTTCTTAGAAAGTAATGTACATCTATATACACCTTTATATATGCACACAGTCTTTGCTATTTATACAACCTGATCTAACTAAAGAAGTATTGATCTTCCACTGTTTCCAAGTAATGGCATGATTGCATTAACTACTAAAATGATTAGTGGTATGTAAAACGAGTTCCTGCAAACTAAACAGGTAGTCCTTGATTAAAATCGCCGGAAGAACCTTTGGGGTTGTGGGTAGAAATTACTAAACTGCTGCATTCTCTCTGCATCTGGAAATGGTTCTGAACACTCTCTCTGCAATCACCAAACATTCCCACTTTTTGTTTTGTGATTCAGAGAAGATCGTTGAAGCAACTGAAGATGGATAAGCTCTGTGTCTTGGGACTGAAATTGGCCTCCAACAACAACAACCACAACCAACAACCTTTGGCCAGATTTGACTCTAGCCAATGGAGAGCTCTCCCTTGATTTTCATTTGCTTCAATTTTACCAGGATGCCATGACATCATACTTGGTTAAATGATACCTCAGTAGCAAGGGCAGACACATTTCTGAATTGTGTTTCTTTTGTACATACTTGGACCAAAGTCTTGTTGTGTGCACTGACATGCTGTGTTCAATATCATGCATGTGGAGACTTTAGTGGAGTCAGCTGTCCCGTTAGTTTTGTTCCATTCGAGGAAGTTGGTGAGGGTAGAACTAGAACTTTGCATGACTTGTGTTTATTTGCAAAGTTACAGTTAAAAGTAACCAATTCAGCCCCTTAAACCTGCTCCACAATTAAGTAAGTAATCGTGGCTGATTTCATTTTGGCTTCAACTCCACTTTCTTGCCCACCTCCCATAACCCTTCAGCTTGCTACTAATTAAAAATCTGTCTCCTCCTTTTAAAAATTATTTAATTGCCCTGGCATCTGTCGCATTCTGCGTTTCTGACCAAAATGGATAACCTCTCATTACATTAAACTGTTGCTTGGTTCTTTCTACTGCTGGCTAACATATACATGGTCCTGAATTATACCTTCAGCAGGTCAACACCTTTCTTGCTGCACCACATCATTAAACTAGGGCTAGTCCCTTGGCTTCGTGGTAATGGTAAAGTGAGTGAATTGACAGGCCATGAAGTAGCGGGTTATGATGGAAAACAAGTCTGCTTTTAATGGCTCACTAACACCACCTTGCCTGTGCCCAGTTTGGAAGTACTAGATCTGCTCTATCTTTCATATCTAGCATTGTAATAATGCCTCTCAGCACAATGGAGGGCTTCTTTATTGCAAAGAAAGGATTTCACCTCCAAAGAGTAAACTGCTAGCAAGGATGCGTTTGTTTGTTTTATTCTGCGCTCAATGTCTGTAGTGAATGGGAGTAACCCAATAGATACTTTCAACCAGAAATTATAGTCATATAGTAGTCACTTTTACATGTATTGGAACTTAGGAAAGTAGCTACCATTATCTGCAGGTCTGACGTTTATGATGTGATGTAATTTTAAAATTAGCTGACATGAACCTATGGCAATATTATTGTTAAATGTAATTTTCCTGTGACATAATCCCATCATTTGTCAAAATTGTTAACTTTTTTTGCCTTTCTGTTCAAAGAGACCTTCGAGCGCAGGTTCATAGTTTCTTGAAAGTGGAGTCGCAGGTAGATAGGATAGTGAAGAAGGTGTTTTGGTATGCTTGCCTTTATTGGTCAGTGCATTGAGTATAGGAATTGAGAGGTTCTGTTACGGCTGTACTGAACATTGGTTGGGTCACTTTCGGAGTGTTGCATGCAATTCTGGTCTCCCTCCTATAGGAAGGATGTTGTGAAACTAGAAAAAGTTCAGAAAAGATTTATGAGGATGTTGCAAGGTTGGAGGGTTTAAGCTATAGGGAGAGGCTGAATAGGCTTGGGCTATTTTTTTTCTACAACATTGGAGGCTGAGGTTTATAAAATCGTGAGGGGCATGGATAGGGTAAATAGGCAAGGTCTTTTCCCTGGGCTGGGGCAGTCCAAAACTAGAAGTTTAAGATGAGAGGGGAAGGATTGCACTGTGAATGGACTACATCCTAAACAGTGGGAAGCTCATAATTTGGTGAGAGCAAGTGAACTAATTACCTAAATTACCTCAGAGATAGTAGGAACTGCAGATGCTGGAGAATCTGAGATAACGAGGTGTAGAGCTGGATGAACACAGCAGGCCAAGCAGCGTCAGGGGAGCAGGAAGGCTGACGTTTCGGGCCTAGACCCTTCTTCAGAAATCTGAAATC